TGGTTACCCCTCAACATCACTTCCCCTGCAGGGCTCTCACAAATGTGGCCCTTGATAATTTTTTCAAAGACCTTCCCCAGTATAGAAGTGAGGCTGACTGGCCTGTAGTCATAAGAGAAGTTATAAGAGATAGAAACATAAGAGATGTTTCTATCCCAAAAAGAATTCAATATTGGGATTGCTTAAAAATTAAAAATATATTCATTATGGCCAGACAGCTCAAGTGAGAAAGTACCAGTGTTAGCATAATTTTTTTTCTCCATTTTCACATTCCTGCAGTATCTGTGATAAAGTAAAGATCAACAGATGGAAGAGAGTTTTATTCTTTAGCACTCAAAAATCTGTACTACTTACCTCAGAATCTTTGGCTGTCGTATTTCTAGCTCTTCATATATCTGCCCCGCTTTTCTCCCTTTCTGTTTCATGTCTGATATAAACTATAAGCTCTGTGGGACACATCAGTCATGGGTATACAGCACCCACACATTTGGCAGAGTCTAAGTCATATCATATTGAAAATTGTTGCTGATACTGCCGCGGAATGGAAATTCATAGTTATGGTAGTTCCTGATTAATAGAGCAGAGAAAAGAGAAAGGAAACAGCATGTCAAAAGTTCTGCGAGGATGTGAAGAATGACTTGGAAGCAGCTGTGACTTCTGGAAACATGTCAGTGAACTGTGTTGCTCTTTCCCATCTTTCCATGAAGAGATTCTCCACCCCACCATGGGTGGGATCCTGACCAGTCTGTTTAAAGCAAAACAGCTAACGTTACAAGCTAAGATTTCTAAAGCTGGATTTGTACTGGGGTGGCTTTTGAGGAACTCTTTACGTTTTCCATACAGGACAGTGCTATGTTTCATTTCATTCTCCCTGCGGAAGGTAGGAGGCAAATTACTCTTTCTTGCTTCTTCTCTTAGTATGTTCTACTTAAAAGGGAGAAAGTAGCATGGGTGAAATCAAAAGGGGAGGAAATGGGAGAAGACAGCAATAGGAAGTGCAACTGTCTTCGCCTTCACATTCCCTAGTATAGGTCACACTCATGCTTCTGGTTGAAGGGACACAAAGTTTAGCAATGACAGAGGAAGTATGGAAGTAAAAAGAAACGTGTATTAAATAGACAGCAAAATCCAATACTCCAACTCCTGAAACCCATACATTCAGCATAACATGTTACAACAAAGTATAATGCCTTCCGGATCAATGTAATAGACTTTAAGGGCTTTTTCATTAACATTAAAGCAGGCTCTTCCTCTAGAGGGTAGCAGTTACCTGGTCTCTGTCAGTCGATCCTGTTCTCAGAGGAAAATGCATTAAGCATTTTTTATTGTTTTTTTTTGTTTGTTTTGTTTTTCTTTAAATAAAAACAACTTTGTCTTTCAGAGAACTTTCCTGTAGTAATTGAAAAAATCTATAAAGGATTTGGAGGCAAAAAATACTCAGTTGCTGCAAGCTATAGGAATAATACTTTCAAGATTTCCTTCTTATGGCTCCGTTTGTATTATGCGCTTTTAGTTTTCATACTTCAGAGCTGAATTAGTCATAAAGTTAGACAGATTGGCAGAGAAATGGAAGCCCTAGATTGAGGAGTGTCCTGGGTTTTATTAAACAAAAATGTAGTGCCCCATTATAAATGTCAACTCTAGGACACGGTGTCCCAAGGAGAGGGGGTGGGGAAGGCAGGCAAAACACCAAATATTTCTGAAGTGAAACAGCACTGGGGTTGCTGTTGAACACTGAATGACTGTTCATTAGAAATAAAAGGGTTTGAAGAGTCCAGAGCTGCTGCTGCTAAGATCACCCTAATCAGTTGTTATTTGAATGGGTAACAAGGTCCTTGAGGACATAAATATAGTTAGGGTGAAGAAAACAATTTAACCAAAGATTACATGGCAAAAAACAGTAACAAAAGACATGAAAGCAGCTTGTAATATGGGATTGCTAGGGCTGCAGCATGTGTATCATACCAGGAAAAACTAATCAACTCTTGGGAAAATATAAACACTAGAAAGGAAATCAGACTTGTTCTGTTGCCTGAACACTGGTGCTACTTGCTACAGAACAATGGAAAATACAACTTAAAGTCAGAATCATTAGCTGTGGCTAAACTTGGCTGGGTGACCAAAGGAGGCTCTATGTCCTCTCTGTATTTAGGTGCCTGATGAAGAAGAAGGAAGATGTGACAGAATCTGTTCCCAAAGTTTCATCTATAACCTCCCTAACAGAAGCAGTTTGCCTCCCTCTTTGGAGGAGTCTGGCAATGTGATCTTTTTTCTTTTCCCAGGATTTTATCCTTTCTCCCTTGCAGGGCGGGGGAGCAGGAGAACTGCCCTACCACTGGGACTAGGTCAGTGCTGCTGCTCTGCAGTATGTGCTGTTAGACTGGTAGTTTTCAACCTTACTTCAGAAGTTTTCCTTATTTTTCTAATAATTCATTCAGTGGATAAAGATGAGTCAGAAGGGGGAGGGCTAAAATATCTAGTAATATGCATCTCCTGGCTAATCTGGTATTACTCCTAGTTCCTTCCTTCTCCTCAGTGAGGAGACAACATTCAAAATTTAAATGTAGCAACATTTATTTGCTATGTTGGTCCACTGCATATACATCAAACTTGCTCACACTCGCTGTCTCCTGGCATTCCTTTGGGAATCCACTCTTCACAGTTTAATGCTGAAGTCTTAAGCAGTGCTGTTGACACTTATAATGGTGGCCTTACTCTACCCCAGAAGTGGCTGCATCTCCACGGAACATCAGCCAACTCCTTTACAGAAAGCTGTACAAAACGCAGTGGAATACATTAGATCACATCTCAAGGAAAACTTCAGCATAGAAACAGTAGGGCAAAGGAAGAAGCTGCCTAAGAAACCTGTATAATCTTCTTCGGAAGCTTTCAAGAAGAGGCTGGATGAGAGACTCTAGTTGGGATGGTTTAGGAATGGTGCATCCTGCATCTGTGCAGGGATTTGGATTAGGTCACCTTCGAGGTCCCTTGCAACCTTCTTCAATTTACATGGAATATGAAATGTTTGGCTGTTATAACATTGCTCTGGGAATTCAAAGATTTGGCTCTAATTCTTGGCTTTGCCAAACTTGCACTGTGACAGTAGATAAATCACCTAATATCTCTGGAATTAATTTGTATTGTATAAAAGGAGAATAATATTTACCTGCATCACAGGGGTGTGGCATTTCATCCATGTGTGTAAAGCACTTGGGTTCTTTGGAGTTAAGGTGAGAAGCAAATAACCCCTAATGGAATTAGCATGTAACCCTGCTCAGCTGCATACTACAGGGTTATAACCCCAGTATCCTGAATCACTCAGCTTTATTGCATGTCACTGGATTTAGGGTTTTGGCAAACTGTTTGAGAAGACCACAGCAAAATAAATATGCATTTATCACCTTTCTTTCCTCCATAAACTAAATCCGAGATGGGCTTTCAACCCTCTCCTCTCACAGATGCTCTCTGGCCAAGTTCTGACTCAGTTCATTTCTCAATGGTTTGAGTCAGCCTGGCTGTATTCCATTGAGTATTACTGTTAAGATGAAATGTGATTAGTTTGTTGTATTTGAGAGCCAAGGCTAAGGGCCCATGGTACATACAGGCAGGTCTTCTAGGAAATGGACACAGTATATTTTTTTTGTGAGCAGAACGTTACATATTTTTAGCAAATGAGTTAAGTGATGAAATAAGTTCAGCGTCTCAAAGAGAATAATAGAGTTGCATTGCCAAATATTCAGCATGAGGAAGAAGGAACATTTTGCACTTGACCTGTCATGCAGTAAATTAAGTGCAAAACAACATGGATGGGATGCTGGTTTTAATGCAAGAAAAGGCAGCACCCATTTCCCTTGGTGTCTATACTGGCTGCCCCACTACTGATTCACTGCAGGGAGCCTCATCTTCCAGGATGACCATTCAGGAAGAAGCCATCCATTTCCTGTCATACACTTCATGTTTGTGGGGAGGGGGACCTGACAGCAGCACTAAGAGGCAGAGGAGCAAGTCTGAGTGGGCTACGGGTGTGAGCCACACACAGGCAGCATTGGGAAGGGAGAAACTACGCTAGGCATTGTACTATGGAGAATTTGCTTATGTTTTTTCTAACAGGACAGCCAAGCTTTTGGGAAGCATTCACAACCATGATACATAAATAAATAATTCCTCCAGTCTGTACCCTCTCCTCCAACAGAATTTTGCCTGTACAAATATCATGTTGGTCCTCTGCAGGCTAGACTACGTTAAAAACATGAAGAGATCCTTTTTTAACCTTCTGCAGAACCATCAGCTACCGTACAATTCTTCTGACACCCCCCTTCCAATGCCCAGTCATGGGCCGGGGCAGGGGGAGGGGGTTTGCCATCATTTTATAGCAGTACAAAGGAAAAGCAAATAGATATCTGTACCCTTTGTTCGTGCCACAAAAGCCCAAATTGTGGCCATGACAAAAGGGAGTAATGATTTCTGTTGCCTTATTATGGTAGATGTCAATTTGCTTTCTGGCAGGAGAGAGTGGGCAGCCTGGGGTTGTCTGTACTGTCCAGCTACCCTGGGTAGGTGCTCTTATGGCTTCAGGGGCTCAATCCTGCACACCCTGGGAATCCCTACACGGGATGAGGCCCCTCAAGCACTGGGAGTGCCTGCCTGACTTTCTGCATGTAGCGATGCACCCCTAGGATCTCTGGAAGTGGGAACAGCCAGGATTTTCCACTTGCAGAGAGACAGTGTCAGACTCCCTAGAGCATGGCTCTGGAAGTGGGAAGCCAAGGCTTTCCTCACTGAGAGATGAACCCCCGGAGATTCCTGTGGGTGTCTCTAAATGGGGAACTTGTTGCCATTGTTCTGCATGATAAATGGGGCAGGACAACTGGTGATGTATGCTTCACCTAATGAAGTGGATCAGCTGTGCTGCGACACATTTTGGCACAGCTAATCTGCTTTACTTGGTGATGTCTACTTAGCCTAAAATCCACCAGGCGTCTGAGGTCCTGTTTTGTGGCATTGCTTCACAGCTGCTGAGGGTCTTTCCCTCACTGTGCTTTCAAAATCTGCACAAAAAAACCCCAGAAAATGTCTGCCCAATCCCTACTAGGTAGGCAAGGGTTTTTATATTGCATTGCCAGGTGCTCAGAATATATATGAATCAGTATGAACTGGTTGCTTCATAATTTTAAAAAAAGGTTGGAGGAAGGTAAAGAGCTGTTGGTATTGATAATTCTGTGATGTTTATGGTTAACTTGGTGATAGTTGGTGTCTGTCTTAAATTCTCAGCTGCGGGCATCCAGATGTCTATGTAAACATCAGCTTCCATTTTCTCAGGAGCTAGTCTTTAGCCCTCACTGTTCTTGGGAAATGCATGTGTCCTCATGGTTCAGAAATCAGGCAGCAAATAAAATGGTTCTGGGAGACTGAACTGCAGATGCTTGGATGTTTTGAGGGTAGCAGCATTGAAAATCTCGTGGGGAGTTGTAACTGTTTCCTATCTATGAGTGCAGTGACAAGTGGTTAGTGTTGTACCAAAGAGATGTGTTGACTGTGCATGGAGAACAGTTTTTTATTTGTCAGGTCCCAGCTTGCATTCCTGAGCCCCTGGTCCTGAAACAAACTTGGTTCCTCCTGGAGCTTGAAATCCTTTCTCCAATTTCTCTCTTCATACTATAACTTCTTAGGCATGCCTTAGTTAGACAAGTACCACCATGAGCTTAGATCAATCAACTAATCAATATCTAGCTTTGTGTGACCAAGGGTGTTTGATGTTCTGTGACCTTTCCAAGTCTAAAGAAAATGAAATTAATCTTCATGAAGGCATTCTGGCTAGGATTGCATATATTGCTGCTGATGGTATATGAATTGGAGCTTGATCTGAAACAGAAGACAAAA